GAAGAGAATAGACACATCAGCATGAAGACTGAGGGGTAATCTCTCTGGCTAGTACAGACATTAAAAGGTAACTTTTTTAAAAAAAAGAAGAGGTAATAAGAGTATATTATGAACAATTTTATTGTAATAGATTCATTACCTTAAAAGAAATGTACAAATTCCTCAGAAAACACAAAGCTCAAAACTTAACCAGACTGTATATGAAAATACATTTCAAAACATGTCATGTCCAAGCACAGTTTACTCCAGGAAGCAAAGGTGATTTAATATTCAACAATCAGTATAATTCTCAATAATCAGTATAATTTACTACATTAACAAACTAGAATATAAAAAAGCAAATGATCCAGAATAAATAATTCTTACATCTCAATAATAAGATTAGCCAAGTTTTTAAAAGGGGGTATGGCTATTCAAGAGCAAGATGAGGTATATAATGCTGTGGTGACAGAAATGTTCTATACCTTTAAGTGTATCAATGTCAGGCTGGGCGTGGTGGCTCCCACCTGTAATCCTGGCACTTTCAGAGGCTGAGGCAGCTGGATCACTCGAGGTCAGGAGTTCAAGATCAGCCTGGCCAACATGGTGAAACATCCCCGTCTCTAATAAAAAATACAAAAATTAGCCAGGCATGATGGCGTGTGCCTGTAATCCCAGCTACTCAGGAGGCTGAGGCATGAGAATCGTTTGAACCCAGGAGGCGGAGGTTGCAGTGAGCTGAGATCCTGCCACTGCACTCCAGCCCGGGAGACAAAACGAGACTATGTCTCAAACAAACAAACAAACAAACAAAAATATCAAATATCTTGGCTGTGATATTGAACTACAGTTTTACAACTATAGTTGCCATTGGGGAAAACTGTTAAGGGTACATGAGGTCTCTCTTATTTTTCTTAAAACTGCATGTGAATCTACAAACATTTCAAAATAAAAAAGATAATTTAAAAAATAGCAAAAAAATATATATGCACATAAAAAGCACATTAAAAATAAATTCTCCGTATCATTGGGTATTAAGAAATGCAAATTCAAATCAAAATGAGATAACAGTATATATTTCATAGGCAAGTAGGTTCACACTAATGATTCCATGTAGAGAAACTTGGTAAAACATTTGAACTTACTCTTTTCTATATTACATATGAAAAGGGAAGGGACCAAAATAAATGGAGATCAACAAGAAAGTCAGATTCTAGAGAAAAGGAACAAGTGTTTCAATATTTGAATTTGAAATGTCATCTAAAATATCCTGAAATCCAATGGAACCAAACTTGAATGTGAACTGAACTTTCCCTGTCTCACCAACCCTGTTTTGGCAGTCAGTGAAGTTTAATTTTAAGGCAAAATTCTCTGCTAATTTGAAAGTGTTTTATTTATAGAATAAGGATACAGAAAAGTATAGAAAATAGCACAATAAACAGTATACCCACATATGAATTACGCCAAAAATTAACATCTTTGTCATGTTTGCTTCAAAGTTTTTTGTGTGCTTACTTCTTCTTGTTCTGATTATTTTGTTATTGCTGCTGCAGAAGCAAATAATTATCTGGGTGGTAATGACACAAATATAGAAGGTAATTTTCATTAGTTTTCCTTTAAAATTTGTGTGTTTTATATGCATATTATACTTCAATTGTAAGATGTTTTTAAAAATCACATTGATTTTTAATTTATTTAAAAAGTTGAGTAAATCAGTGAAAATATTACTTCTCATAGTATTTTACTGAAAACAAGAACCAAGAAATTTCTATACTCACATCAAAAGGTCAGGCTACAAATGTAAAAATAAATAAATGGGACTATATTAAACTAAAAAGCTTCTATACAACAAAGGAAATAATCAACAAAATGAAAAAGCAGCCTCTGAATGGATATAAAATGTTTGCAAACCATATATCTGATAAAAGGCTAGTATCTAAAATACATAAAGAACTCACACAACTCAATAGCAGAAAAACAAATAACCCCATTAAAAAATGGGCAAAGGACCTGAATAGACATTTCTCGAGACATAAATATGGTCAACAAGTATATGAAAATGTGCTCAAAATCACTACTTATCAGGGAAATGCAAATCAAAACCATCACACCAGTGTGGATAGTCATTATGAAAAAGACAAGAGATAACAAGTACGGGAGGGGATGCAGGAAACAGAACCCTTGCACACTGTTGGTGGAAATGTAGATTGGAGCCACCAAGGTGAGAAACAGTATATAGATTCTTAAAGAAATTAAAAATAGAACTAGTGTATCATCTCACAGTTCCTCTTCTGGGCATAAGGAAAATGAAATCACCACCTATAAAGATAACTGCACTCCCTCGTTCACTGCAGCACTATTCAGAACAGCCAAGACACAGACATAGCCAGAGAGTCCGTCGACAGACAAATGGATAAAGAAACTGTAGTATGTAGTCATTTGCCACATAACATGTTTTGGTCAATGCCAGACCGCATATATAAAGAAGGTCCCAGATGATTATAACTAGATTCCTATCACCTAGATGTTGTAGCCATTGTAGCACAACACACTATTCATGTGTTTGTGGTGACTTTATAAAGTAACAAAGTTCCAGTAAGCTAAGGGTAATTGATTATTAAAGAAAAATATTTTTTATAAATGTAGTGTAGCCTAAGTGTCCAGTGTTTATAAAGTCTACGATAGCATACAGCAATGTCCTGGTCCTTCACATTTACTCACCACTCACTCATTGACTCAATCAGTGCCACTTCCAGTCCTGCAAGTTCCATTCATGGTAAGTGCCCTATACAGGTGTGCCTTTTAAAATCTTTTATACTGTATTTTTATGGTAGCTTTTCTATATTTAGATAAACAAATACTTACCATTGTGTTACAACTGCTTACACTATACAGTAACAATGCTGTACTGGTTTGTGGCCAGGAGCAACAGGCTATACCTCACAGCCTAGGCGTGTAGTAGGCTACACTATCTTGGCTGTGTAAGCACACTCTACAGTTTTCACATAATGATAACATCACCTAAGGGCACATTTCTCACAATGCCTCCCAATTGTTAAGTAGTGCATGGTTGTATAAACAAAGGAATATTATTCAGCCTTAAAAAGGAAGACACCGACATTTGGTACAACATAGGTAAACCTGGAAGAGATTATTCTAAGTGAAATAAACCAGAGAAAGAAAAATACTTCATGATCTCACATATATGTGGAATACCTTTTTAAAAAGTCAAATACACAGAGATAGAGGATATTACAATGGGTACCGGGGGTGGATGTGAGAAAATGGGGAGATATAGGTCAAAGTTGCAGGTCTATAAGATGAAGTCTAGAGATCTAGTGCAGAATATGAGGACTACAGTTAATGATATTGTACTGTATTCAGGATTTTTGCTAAAGGAGAGTATCACTGCTCTTGCCACAAACAATAAAGGGGGTAATTATGTGAGATGATGGATATGCTAATTTACTTGACTATAGTAGCCATTTCTCTGTGTACATGTATTAATATATCAAAACATCAAGTTATATACCTTAAATATACACACAAAAAATAAATTTCTATGTTTTATACTCCTTCCACAATGGTCAAGATTCCTTAAATCTTAGTTGAAATTACGGTCATACTATGTAAGAGGCAAAAACATGACTTAAGGGAACATTGGAGAGCAGTAAAGATAATATAAAAGCCCTACTGAAAATGAGGAGAAAACAAAGTGTCTGTACCCTTATAAAGAGTGAAAGCCCTGCCCCCTTCTCCTATAGACCCCCTAGCAAGGAGACTGGAAGAATCAAAAACAATCTACCCAAAAAATGGCCTGCAGGGACAGAGTCCCAGAGAAAGAGACTATGTACAACAAGGTACAGTAAGACAGACCTGCCCACACACAGGACTTCCAATCGACTTCTTAGTGCTTACTCCTACAGATGAACAGATCAACCAGAGCCACCAGACGCTCTAGCAAAGACAGGAGTCCAAAAAGAAAACTCAGTAAGTTTGAATATATTTTGAGCAAATTTTCAGTTCTGTTGAAGTACCGGGGGTAGAATCAGTGTATTAGTACACAAATAAAAAACAGGGCAATGATGTGCTACAGAAATGGTAAAACATGTTCAAGAAAGGAAATGCAATCATCCTACAGTACACAGTCAAACTAAAAATAACATCTAAAATAATAATTTAAAATCTGAGTTAACCAAAAATGGTAATAAGATGGAAAAAGGAAAAAGTTTGTGTGCTGGCAAGCGTGCTGGGAACCCAGAGGGAACACATGTGGTATGCAGGAAGAATCAATGACTATCTTCCATCTTAGGGAGATAATAGTTAATATCTACAACTGAAATCAAGAAATCACAATATAAGCATGTTATTTAGAAACATGGACAGAACTGAAAGCATTTCCCTTAGAGGAGTGGGAATCAGAAACAAGGTGAACATGGGTCTGTTATTTTTCATTAAAACCTCGTACTTCCATGTAAGTTTTAAAACTATATATGTGTATTACTTTGATGCAAAAAATAAAATTAAAAAATGCCAAAGAAAGAAGATAAAACCAGTTTGGGAATAAAACTCTCCAACAGGACCAAAATTTAAAGAGTTAAATTATGTTATGTTCTTTAAAAAACATATGTAAAACAATGGATTTCTCAAACTTCTCCCATTTTGGTCCCTTTTTCTTCTCTAATTCTGCATGCATGAAGCAAACCTGTTTGACAATTTCTGCCACAATGAAAAAGTGGAAATGAAATAGTGAAGAAAAATGAACCCAGTAGCAGCAAAATCATTTGTATCAATTACCAAAGAACCATTTTGAGAGGGTTTTAATAGTGGTTAATAGTCATTCTGGAAAAAAAAAAAAAAGCACCGCTTCAAAAATCTGAAGACAGACATAACATTTCTAATGTAGGTTCTCACAGGAAAATCTACCAGAAAGAAATGTAAAGACTGTAGTAAATCTTACGCAGGGACATGTGTGTTCTGTAAATCTAACTCTAACTCTAATCCAAGTCATGGTAACTTACCACTTCATGAATGGATCTGTTGAAGCCATCATCTTCCGTAAGGATCAACAATATTATAAGGGCCATATACACATGGTGTGAATTCCTTTCTTCAACATGATACAGAATCTCAAGAATAGGTAAAACCTAGAGAATAAAAATTATAATTGAGTATTTCAGTACTTCGTTATAAATCCAAATGTTTTAAATCTTTACACTTTTGTACTCTGCTTTAATATCATAGCTGTATCGTTCATTAGAGGAAAAAACCATATAAACCCCCTTCTGACTGAATGTATTTTCCAAATGTATCTTAGCTATTAAGATGCCAGTGGAGAAAATCATCACTAACTCTGTGAAGGTCTCTTAAGGTCCAATCAACATAAAGGTTGGATCTGCAAGGACCATTTAGGCTCAAGGTTTGTTTGGAAGATTTTAAGAAGTCACATTGCCTTCTCCCAACTTAACCAAAAAGTAGCAGTAGTGGGGAGAGCACAGCTGCTCACAAGTTAACGTTTTATGTGCTTAGCATCACTTTTTTAAAGCTAATAAGTAAAAAATATATTTCAAGAAATATATTTTAAATAAATACGTAATTAAACATACTCTTGGAACCCAAGGTGCATTTTCTCAACATATGTATTAAGATCTGCTCTTAGGTGTATCCATCAAACATTTCATTTCAAAATGCCGTTTACAATTGTGCTTATTTCAAATCATTGACACCTTCTATTTGTTCCTTCTTTACTAAAGTAAGGAGGTTACTGAAATTATTTATTAAAGATGGGCAGACTATACAGCATGTCTCGTAGGAAACAACCATGAACACTATCCACTGAATGCTAGAAAATAGGCAAAAAAAAAAAAAAAAAAAAAAAAAAAATCTATCATCTAAATCAGACAATACATGTAATGAGTAAATTGTTTACACATACAAGTCCCTAAAGCACAGGCGGGTATGCCGCACACGGAGGCATACGTGTTTTTGACAGGCACACCTATTGCAGGAAGGTTTTAAAATGTGGCACTGGTGTGTTTTGTTCTTTTATAAGTTGTAGTTAAAACTTCCTCTAAATTATGAAGTTCAGTGCATGAGCACTATTAAATTCCAGGAACAAAGTGTACCAGTTACCAAGTAGTCATTGCTCTTTCTCTTTTCCCAGGCATTCTTGTCTTTGGAGTTTCTTCTGACATTGTGTCAAACATAATACATTGTACTCACATTCCACATTACCTAGTAAGCACAGTTACATTTTACGGTCATTTAACTCAACATTTGTTAATTCTGATTCTGGGGTTTTCAATACGCCACATAACATTTCCATTAATGGCAGATCACATGTAAGAGTCTGTGGTTGTATAGTCTCATAAGATTACACCACCATATTTTACTGTACCCTTTCTATGTTTAGATACACAAATGCCATTGTGTTACAAATGCCTGCAGTATTTAGTATGGTTACATGATGTACAGGTTTATGGTCTAGGAGCCATAGGTTACACCATAAAGCTTAGGTGTGTAGTTAGGCTATACGATCTAGATTTGTATAAGTACACTCTATGATATTTGCACAATGACAAAATCACCTAATAAAACAAATTTCTCAGAATGACTCCCCACATTAAGCAACATATGACTATATTTTATGCCATGTTCTTTTTTTTTTTTTTTTTGGCTACACCTGTAGAAAGCACATCTTACCTACAGTACCTAATATCACCAGAGTACTGAAAATATTGAGACTCTGTGCTTTACCAGACAAGATACACAAGCAAATGGTATATTCAAAGAAATAATAATGTAAGAGTAAGTAACGGGTCCAATGAGACTATGTCAGAATAGTACTTCATTCTTTTAAATATCTGTATTGAGACACAATTTACAGACCATACAATCCATTCAAAGTGCATAATTCAATGGTTTGCCATATGTTAACAAATATGTGTAACCATAACCACAGGCAACTTAAAAAATTTCATTACTGCAAAAAGAAACCCCATGCCCTTTAACTATCACCTCCTCCAGTCCCCTATGTAGCCTGCCCAAAGGAACCACTTTCTGTCTCTATAGATTTCCCTATTTTGGATGTCTGTATGAATAGAATCATAGACTACGTAGATTTTTGTGACTACCTTATTTCACTGAACATGTTACCAAGGTTCATCCATGTTGCAGTATGTATCAGAGTCTCATTCCTTTCTATGTCAAATAATATCTCATTGCATAAACATATCACATTTCATTTATCCATTCTTCTGTTTACTAACATTTGAACTGTTTCCACATTTTTGCTATTATAAGCAATGCTTCTATAAACATTCCTTTACAAGTTTTCCTGAAGACGTATACTCATTTCTCTTGGGTATATATCTAGCCTTGGAATTGGTGGATCATATGGTAACTATTTAATTGTTTCAGGAACTGCCAGACTGTTTCAAAGCCATTGCACCATTTTACATTTCCACCAACAGTGTATGAGAGATTAGATTTCCCCACATCCTCACTTCTTATTAACTAACATTTTATTCTAGGCATCATAGTGGGAGTAAAGTGGTATTTTGCTGTGGTTTTGATTTATACTTACCTGATGACTAATAATGTCAAGTTTGTTTTTTTCATATGTGTATTACTAGCTATTTGCATATCTTCCTTGCAGAAATGCTTACTCAGATCTTTCATCCATTTTGCAATTGGGTTGTCCTTTTACTATTGGGTTTAAAAAGTTCTTTATATATTATAGATACAGTTCCTTACCAGATAAGTGATTTGCAAATATCTTCTCACATTCTGTAGGCTGTCTTTTCACTTTCTTGATGGCCCTTTGAAGCACAAACGTTTTTATTTTGATGCAGTTCAATTTACCTATTTTTTCTTTAGTTGCTCATGCTTTTGTTGTTATATCTAACAGTCATTTGCCAAATTCAAGGTCATAAAGATTTACCCCCATTTTCTTCTAAGAGGTTTATAGTTTTAGCTCTTTTTAGGCCTTTGACTCATTTTGAATTAATTTTGTATATGGGGTGAAGCAAAAGCCCAACTTTATCCTTTCGCAAGTGACTACACAATTGCACCAGTACCATTTGTTGAAAAAACCTATTCTTTCCACATTGGTCTTGGCACCCTGGCAGAAAATCAGTTGATGATAGGTATATGGGTTTATTTCTAGATTCTCAGTTCAACTCCAATGATGTATTACGTCTATCCTTGTGCCAATACCACACTGTATTGATTAGTGTTGCTTTATAATAAGTTTTGAAATTAGAAAGTATGAGTCCTCCAAATTTGTTTTTTTCCAGGATTGTTTTGGCTATTCTTGGTCCTTTGCAATTTTATATGAATTTTTAAACAATCTTGTCAATCTCTATAAAGAAGTCAACTAGGATTCTAATAGGTATTGTGCTCAATGTGTACATCAGTCTGGGGAATACTGCCATCTTAACGATGTTAAGTACTGTGATCAGGGCTGGGTATGGTGGCTCATGCCTGTAATCCCAGCACTTTAGGAGGCCAATGTGGGAGGATCGCTTGAGGTCGGAAGTTTAAGACCAACCTGGGCAACACAGCAAGACCCTATCTCTATTTTTTTATGTTGCAATCAATGAATATATATTTTCCCATTTCTTTCAATAATATTTTGTAGTTTTCAGAGTGTAAGTTTTGTACTTCTTTTGTTAAATTTCTGATGCTATTATGAACAGAACTATTTTCTTAACTTCATTTTGGGATTTCACATATATAAAAATACAATTTTTTGCATATTGATGTTTTATACTGATCCAGTATCCTGCAACTTTGCTGAACTCATCTATTAATTCTAAGAGTTTTTCAGTGAATTCCTTAGGATTTTCTATGTATAAGATAATGTCATCTGCAAATACAGATAATTTTACACCTTGCTTTCCAATCTAGATGTGTTTCATTTCTTTCTCTTAATCAAATGCCCAGGCTAGAATCTCCAGTAAAATGTTGAATGAAATGGCAAAAGCAGACATCCTTGTTTTGTGGCTGATCTTAGGGAGAAAGACAACATGGTCTTTTACCATTAAGTACGATGTGAGCTGTAGGGTTTTCATAGAAGCCCTTTATTAATCTGAGGATGTTCCCTTCTATTCCTAGTTTGTTAAATATTTTTATTTCATTAAAAAGTAATGATTTTGTCAAATGTTTTTTTCTGGATCTATTTAAATAATCGTATGATTTTTGTTTTTCACTCTTGATATGATGCATCACAATAACTGACTTTCAGATGTCCAATCAAGCTTCCATTCCTCAGATAAATCCCACTTGGGTATGGTATATAATTACTTTTATAACATAACTTTAATTCTGAAAGAACTATTTAAACTGAGATCTGAAAAACTACTAGGAGTTATCTGAGAAGAGGAAAAGGGAGAAAATTTCAAGGAGAAGTATTCTAGAGAGAAAACCAAGCCTAAACTTAGTTAGGAGATAGGTCAGATTGAGAGAAATTAAATTAATTTATTATGATTAAATAAAGAATAAAAAGGACATAATGGCAAAGAGATGAGACCCAAAATGGAAGCTGTGGCAAAATTATAAACTGTCTAGTTAGCCACATTAAGAGTAAGAGCTTTAAACCTGAGGGCACTGTGGAGCCATGAAAGGGCTTTAAAAGCAGAGAAGTGACATGATCAGATTTGACTCTAATATACTCACTCTGGAAACAGGATAGAAAATAATATTAAAGAATAGCAAGACAGAAAGCAGAAAAACCAGTTAAAAATGTTGCAATAGTTTTAGTAAGAGATGAAGGTCGCTTAAACCAAAGGAATGGCAATGAGGAAAAAGAACACTAACATATTCCAAACATAATGAGAGAAAATAAAAAAGATTTGGTTGGATATGGGGGAATGAAACAGGAGAGTCAAAGCTTTTGCTAACTCTGTGGATGGCTCACTGTGATATAGAATACAGGGGTAAGAGAAGGAAGAGCAGGGAAAATAATGAACCCAATTTTTACATGTTTGGTTTAAGGTGTTTATGAGACAGCCACTGGGAAATGTCTGGGGCAGCTGGATACATGGATATGAGATACAGGCAACCAGGGCTGCAAAAATAGAACATATATGGCACATATAAATGGGAACATATACACTGGCAACATATAAATGACAACTGAGTTTGCTTAGATGTTTTAGGGAGAAGTACAGGGAAAAAACAAAAAGAAGGACAGAACCCCGCAGCAGGACACATTTAAGGACAAGAAAAAATAACACATAAAGGAGAGAGAAAAGCAGTAGGCATAGAGGTGGAAAAACCAGCAGAGTAAAATGATCAGAAAGCCAAGGTATATGTTTGTAGATATATGAACTACACGTTTGGGCCCCCAAAATTCATATGTTAAAACCCTAACCCCCAATGGGACACTATTAAGAGGTGGGGCTCTTGCGAGGAGATTAGGTAACAGGTGTGGAGCACTCATGATGGGATTAGTACCCTTATAAGAAGAGATAGGAGAGAGCTTGCTTCTTCCCTGCCTCTGCTCACTGCCATGTGAGGACACAGCAAGTAGATGACTCTTGACAAACCAATAAGCAGGTCTGCACCAGACACCAAGGGGGCTGACATCTCTGTCTTGGAAATCTCAGCCTACAGAACTGTGAGAAATAACTTTCTGTTGTTTAAGCACCAGTCTATGGTATGTTTGTTAAAGCAGTCAGGCCTGAGTAAATTCTGAACTAACTAAGCCAGAACTGACTAACACATAGGTATTCAGCGGTTTATAGAATAAAGAAATGAACAGTGTCATATGCAGCAATGCAGTCAAATAAGAAAATGATGAAACATGACCAAAGATTTACTAACAATCAGGAGCTCCTGATGAGGAAGTTGTAGAAACAAATGTTAGATCACAACAGGTAGAAAAGTGCACAAGAAGTAAAGGCAAATAATGTGGCTTTCAAGAAACTTAGCATGAAAAGGAAAAGAAAAGGGCTAAAAGAAAATTTCCTTTTTGATGTTTATATAAAAACCACACTCAGAAAATAAAGGACTATTAGTCCATCTAAAACAAGATGTAAAGATCCTATGTCATTTCTTTTATAATTCATGATAAATCATAGACTACATATCATTGTAAATCTTAATCTCATTTTCTAAGTGTCTCTTCAGTGAAGTTTCAAATGAGTAAGTATCAAAATGACAGGAGCTGCATATCTGCAATATTGTGCAGGCTCAAGGCTTGACCCAAAAGCAGAAGACTGCTGGAGGCCTAAGGGAAACGCCAGCCGAATCTCTGCTGGACTAACACAAACAGAAATTAAAAGAGTGACTAACTCATAATGCCCTGATTAAGGAAGTTACAAGCAATATAGTGTCAAAGTGACTATATATTATTTGTCCAAGATCCCTTGCTTAAGGAAATTCCCTTTACCTTTGTGGCTATGGTGGCTTAGCATTAACTGTGCCTCCTTCTGTAATCATTGGTCAAATAAGTGGATACACAACCCAAGAAGAGACTACTGGAGCCCTTCATGAAATATTTCTGAAGTAGTTGTGTAATCTTTCCTCTTTTTAGCTTATGATATGTCGAGAGCTGCTGGTGGCCACCTGTCTCCCCACTTGGAAAGTGTGTGCCTGAGAATAAGGCCAAAGCTATAAAAGGCAGAGGCAAAAGATGGAGAGGCCGAGCCTGGATAACAACATTTAGCCCCTAGAACCAGCTATGACTGAAGCCAAAAAAAAAATGCACAAATTTTTCATTTGTACAGATATATTTCTTTTTGCTTACGCTAGGCATAAATGGGTCTGTTACAACTAAAAGAATCATGACTATCTTAAAAGTCTAGCTACTTTTCTTGTTAAACATTTGCTTGTGATAAAATATAAAAATTGTGTTCATGTCTATAATGAGTTTTTCTAAAAAGTATGCCCTCTTAAGCCCTGTTTTTAACATTCAGGCACTTGGATTCGCCCTAGACACTATTCAGAGACACAAAAAGAAAATGCAAGAGTCATTGTATTGTTATTCTAATAGATACCAATTAAAAATGTACCATAAGAAGTTATACCAGATTAATTAACTTGTTTTGAGTTAAAACAAGTCAAACAGTAGTGAGTCAGACCATCAACAGAAAGAATCGAAGTCAGCCAACACCTGTCGCTGAACAGAGGCAGGTCTGCCTCCAGCCTTATGGGATTTACACACAATAAGGTATTTCTTAGAAACACTGTAATCCGTCAAACATTACCTTCTTAATGTCAAAGACTGCAGAATAAAATAATTGATAACCATAACAAAATCAGATCAGCACAGTAACTTTCCTACTGATAACATATTTTCTCATCAAAGCCTCAACATATTTATTATAGAAGAAAGGTAAAAGGACAGATGGGGCATAAATTAAGAAATTATCCAACAAAACCAGAACAAATAAACAAACACCACCCTCCAAAATAACTACAACACAAAACCTTTTAACCTTTCACCGGGTATGTCATCAAACACAGACAGCTGCTCTCTGCACCATCTTATATACCCGCATCCTTACCATACAACTTTCTGAAACAGGTGATGTCACAGGTTTCCTGCTTATTGCCAACATTTCCCTTAGAATACATCATACTCAGAATTGTCTCTATGCCTATCCACACCCATCAGGAAACAAACCTTCTCTTTACAGGATTTTACTCATATAAGCAGTATACTTTCATACTCGATTTGCTATTTAAGCAATGTTTCCCACCTAGACCTAAGGTGGAGACACTCTTTCATCACATTTTTCATTCTTAGTGTCAATTGGATGCAGAGTATGTTCAATGAATTCTAGTATTCCGTGTTCTTTCACTATTTATGCAGTATTTTATATTGAACACTGAAAAAATGGTAACCAAATACTGGGAGAATCCTGCTATCAATCTGTAAAAACTGGTGCAGAGGGAACATTTTGCTGTCAGGCAGCTACTGACTATTTCGGGAATGTTCACATTTTTACGAGTATATTAGGGTCCATAGTTATCTACATACTATGTATTTCAAACAACATTAACACCTTGGTGAGGTAGCTTACTCTGCCCCTCATAGAAACATTGATGTTTGCACATTAGTCATAAAGGAAATCGATTATTGCTTACAGGAGTTTTTGTCTATGAACAAAAATTTGAGAACTAATTTCACTCATGTAGTGATGGATAGTGTAATTTAAGGGATATCTGACAAAAGTACCTTAAAACGACTATAAGACTCCAGGGAGTGAGTTCAGACAGTCCTAAAGCCTAAGCCTGCCAGAAGGGATGGGACATTTGAGCAGCTGAGTTGAAACATCACTTTCCTTTCAGCATTCTTATCAGGAATATTCTGCAACTGTGAAGAGTAACATGAAGTTGGTGGGTGGGCACTTAGCAGATGGAAGGGACTGAGATGATTTAAAAATCCCCTTGAGAATTGCAGAGGGTTTTTGGAAGACTTGAACAGGCTGAATCCTGGTAAGGACAAGGAGGCGCGTCAAGTCAGCCAGGGACGTTGCTGTGTCCTGCTGTGGGAGGCCCCCTCCACATGAGCTGTGTCTTATGCTGGAGAAGTTCCTACCCTCTGTCTGTGTCTGGTGACACCTCCCTATGAATTTCTTGATCATCACCTTTGTGGCAACCAGGCAAATAAACTTGCCCTCTTGGGAAAAGAAGTTTTTCTTCAAAATGTTGTAAAATACAAACACATGGAATGGTTAGTATGATACTTACAAGATTTTCCATGTCTGTGCGAGCCAACATGTATGTTCTAATATTACTATTTTGATGAAGCAAGGTATACAAGAGGAGAGTTGCTTGATCAGATGTCTGCTGTTCACAAAGAGCTGTGTACAAACTATTAAAGTTGATCTGGAAGGCATGTGGAATTGATGAGGGGAAAGGGCTGCTATCTGGAATACAGAAAACAGCATATCAGTAATTTCTAGCTGTGCTTTATATAAATGAAAATATTGTTAAAGTAATGTGTACAACTCAATTCCCATTAATTTTATGGAAAGTCATTACATTTCAGATTCAAAATTTTAATGTATACAAAATTTACTTGAGGTCCAGGCATGGTGGCTCACGCCTGTAATCCCAGCACTTTAGGAGGCCGAGACGGGTGGATCACAAGGTCAGAAGTTTGAGACCAGGCTGACCAACATGGTGAAACCCCATCTCTACTAAAAATACAAAAATTAGCCAGGCGTGGTGGTGTGGGCCTGTAATCCCAGCTACTCAGGAGGCTGTGGCAGGAGAATCGCTTGAACCCGGGAGGTGGAGGTTGCAACGAGCCGAGATTGCGTCATTGCACTCTAGCCTGGGCGATAGAGTGAGACTTTGTCTCCAAAAAAAAAAAAAATTTACCTTAAAAAGAACTAAATTAAGTCATATAGTTTGACTCTGTTACTATTTTCCCATTAACGTAGCTGAAATAAATCAGCTCTAAGAACATGAACTTAAATAAACAGAAGTATGAGCGAGTCAAAAGGCTCTCCAATCAATACAATTTAACCAGGACTTCAAGATGAAATACTTTGTTACTGAAACTAAATAACCATGAGTCCTAAATAAAAAAACATCTAGAGAGAAAGATAGAATTTCTATACAAAATAGAAAATTCTCTTTTAATATAGAATTAAAAAGAAAACAACTGCCTTTAAAGCTGGGTTAATTTTCTTCAAATGAATAAATTGTGGCTGAAGTATCCACTTACACCAAAATCAGTATAGACGTTCCTCAACTTGCAATGGGATCATATTCCCATAAATTAATCATAAGTTGAAAATATTCTAAGTTGAAAATGCATTTAATACAACCTAACTTACCAAATATCATAGCTTAGCCTAGCCTAGCCTAGCCTAAGCTATTATTTTTGTGTACAGTTCCAAATTGTATTAATCCAACTGTAACAGGAGGCCTATTTTACAACAAAATGTTGAATATCTCATGTAATTTATTAAATACAGTACTGAATTTATATTGCTTTTGCACCATCATAAAGTCAAAAAATCCTAAGTCCAGCCATTGCAGGTTGGGGGCCATCTGTGTACGTTCAACATTAGGTTCTATAATCAAAAGAGCATACCAAGCTTGAGACAACTACCAGAAAACTTCTATAACTTTTTTAAAAATAAAATAAAATATAATCTCCAATGTAAACCTAATTGACTACAACTGCTAAGAAACTTTTTTTTTTTTTTTTTTTTTAAAAGTACAGTCACTGGAACAATCAAAAGCAAAAATCACAGCCTGTACTAGGAAAGTTCTTGATATTCCAAACCGACACAGGCCCTTTCCAACAGTTAACTGGATTTGCTGAGAAACTGAAGCAATCAAGGTTAGGAAGTAACAAAGAAGATAAAGATAAGTTCAACGGATTCAGAGAAAGTCATCATCTAATCAAATAAAACTCTGAACATGGTAGCACAAAGAGCTAATATTTTTATGTTCTAAAAAGTACCAAAATTATTTTAAGCCTTTAAAAACACAGAAGCACTACCAAGACAAAATAACTTGCTTTAACATTCCTAAAAGCTGTGCTCTTATGGAAAAAAAGATATGTTCCAACACAGTCCTTGCCTCTCAGATTCTCCTTTCTAAGCTTTACATTTGTGAGGAGAATGCATCAAAACGCCTTCAGTTTTTCCATCCAGTGCCCTCACTTTTCCTTCTACATTTGAAATAGAGGCTATTTTTTCAATACTGACACTGTATTTTTGACTCTTACAAAAATAATTCTTTTTTTTTTGTGGTTGGCTTTATATTTTTGCAAGGGATGGCAAAAGAAAGTGTTGCCATGTGCCGTGAGTATGCAGATATTATGGAATCTACAGAATGCCCACTGGTGGAAGATTCTAGACACACTACACTTCTATAAAATTGAAGCAAAGTAACAAATTCACCAACCTGTATTATACCTGACTGCAAAGGGAATATGTGTGTTGTGTGTGTGTATCCACAACATACATACATTACTAGCTAATAAATACTATGAACCAGCTGTTATACTAAACACTTTGTTTATGTTATCCTTTATTTAACCCATACAACAAACGTGTCATTATTCTGATCAGCTTTACAAGGAATGTAATAGATGTTTAAAGGGATCAAGTAACTTTGCCAAGATCAGCCCTGATGGATATGAGCATCCTAAAGCCAACACTTTGCATCATTGTACTAAATGGTCTCCCAAACCGTGACCATCCCAAGCAAAGTTCAGCCCTAAATACCAACATTTGGCCTGAGCAGCAAGAGTAACATAGTAGATACCATATACTGAATACCCGCTTTGTTGCAAAATCTGGGCTAATCATTTTAAAGACTTACCTTGCTTGGTCTTTATACAAATACTATTAGGTGATATTTTCTCTATTTTATAGGCAAAGCTTTTGAAGCTAATTGAGATTAAGCAAACTGTCAAAGGTCTCACACTCTGAAGTGATAGAGGTATGGTGTGAAGCCAGGTATGCTTGACTCTGAAACTTGCTTTCTTAACCATTAAGTCATACTGTCACCAAGAAGAGTAAGTAATGGGAACAGAAAAATACTAATAGATACAGGAGTTTTCATTTTTTAATTCATAAAATTGTTATTATTTCCCCATTGTAACGTGTTATAGTTTATGTTCTCTCCACAATCCATGTTGAAATTTAATCTCCAATGAAATAAAGTTGAGAGGTGGGGCCTTTACAGTGTGATTAGGTCCTACGGGCCCCTCTCTCATCAACAGGATGAAGGCCTATATAAAAGAGGGCCCACATAGTATTCAGCTCTTTTAGCCCTTGACTCCCTTCTGCCATGTGAAGACACAGTTAGAAGGACCCATCTTGGAAGCAGAGACTGAGCCCTCACCAGACACCAAACCTGCCAGTGCCTGGATCTTAGATTCACTTCCCAGGCTTCAGAACTGTGAGAAATAAACTTCTGTTCTTTATAGGTCATTGAGTCTCAGGTATTTTGTTAGAGCAGCACAAATGGACACGCTGCAAATAATACCAGAATTGGCAGAGGCACAATTAATGGGCACATCTAGCCATGTCTATAAGAAATGTGTATCAGAATAACCTGGAAGAAACATGGCACGGGGCATCAGAAGGCTTACAAATGCTCCCATCCAATCACTGTACTTCCCACCCATCTTCATCACACTGGTGTTAGAAATGTCTTGAGAATCTGGCTATGTGCTGCATAATAACGTTTCAGTCAATGATAAACCACATACTTGAAGTGATCCCATGTGATTATACCACATTTTTACTGTACCTTTTCTAGGTTTAGATTGCCTAGATAAACAAATACCACGTTGTTACAACTGACTACAGTATTCAGTACGTCATCATGTTGAACAGGTTTGTTGGCTAGGAGCAATAGGCTACACCACAGAGCCTAGTTGTGTAGCAGCTATGCCATCTAGGTTTGTCTAAGTACACTATGATAGTCACGCAGAGAAAAAATTGCCTAATGGAACACAGCCCTGCCATTGAGCAGCACTTGACTGTACTACAGGAATCCTGCTTTTAGAATGTAACCTTTTGAGAAGAGATGCTGGTTCAACATGAAGTGATATGCTCACCTTCTACTTTAGGAGTTATTAATACCAAGTTACACAGCTCATGGGCAGCCTACCCCCCCTTGTTTGGAAGTAAAGATTTACTGGAGCACAGCCATCTAACCTGTTTACATAGTACCTATGGCTGCTTTGATGCAACAATGGCAAGGCTAAGAGACTGCAGGAGAGAACATGTGGCTCCACAAAGCCACTAATCCCTACAGAAAAAGGTTTTCTGATTTGTGTTCTAATTTTTTTTTTTTTTGAGACCTAATTTTTAGTTCTATAAAACTCTAACTAGAACCCAGACTTTAACTGAAAATTTAAAACAACCTAGCATTTGGGTTTTCCAGGTTAATTCCTACCCCTAACAGGTAGTACAGACTGACCCAAATTAAACACATGCTGGTTTGGTTATCCCTGAAAGAAATACGAATTTAAACAGATATAAAGGATCACAGCCCTGTTCTCGGATTTGCTTGACCTTCCTGATAACATTGACAGGAAAAGCTAAGGTTTTTCTCATGTTTGACCAATATGAAAACATACAAATGGACACTCATCTCCAAAACTACAAGACAATAAACAATATAGAATAAGCAATACTCTCCCCATTACAAAGAATATTAGAGAAAAAATACCACAAACCTTGTGTGTTCTTGAAGGACATAATGGCTTGTCTGTAGGGGTTTGGCGCATCTGAGGCATCTGTCAGATTGGCCAACACCAGCAGAAGCAGGAGACTCTGGTTGGCCAGAGGGGAAGAAAGCTCTGGAGAGGCAGTCGCTTTGCTGCCCACACCACCTAGCGTGAAGACAGTCCAGAGTCCTGCTGGGGAGGAAAACACCCTGTTAGGATGTGCCACCACCAATGAGATGAATGTATTTCCGTACAGTATTCTGTGTAATATAATACAATATAATACAACATGGTAATGAGCAGTTCCAAAGTGTAGAACAAGAATCAGGTCGATACATTTCACAAGGCCAGAAAATCCTCGTTGCTATAAAAACTGGACAAAGATTGACTGCATTTAAAACAAAATAGAGAAATAGAGATTTTTATGATTAGGTAACCTAAATTTTTTTAAAAAGCAAATGAAATTTAGTAGAAAAATTTGCTAAAAAAAAAAAATTAATGCAAGCCGGGTGCGGTGGCTCACACTTACAATCCCAGCACTTTGAGAGGCTGAGGTGGGTGGACCAAGAGGTCAGGACTTCAAGACCAGCTTGACCAATATGGTGAAACCCAATCTCTACTAAAAATACAAAAATTAGCTGGATGTGATAGCAGGTGCCTGTAGTCCCAGCTACTCGGGAGGCTGAGGCAAAAGAATAGCTTGAACCTGGGAGGCAGAGGTTGCAGTGAGTTGAGATCATGCCACTGCACTCCAGCCTGGGCAACAGCGCAAGACTCCATTTCAAAAATAATAATAATAATAATAATAATAATAATAATAATAATAATAAATGCATTATGATCAAGAGGCTTTGTTTCTAAAATACAAGAATTGTTCACCATTTTAAAAGTATTATTTCTATTTTTTAAGATAAAAAATATGGTCACTCGAGAGTTTCCACATTTTCATAAATATATTTAAATATATATATATTTTTTAAACTTAGAATTGGTTTCTGATTTAAAGAAAAATTCTTACAAACCAGAATGGGAAGGAAACCTCTAGCCAGAAATTCATAGTGGTCAAACATTGTAAGTATTCGCATTAATATCATCAACATCAGCATGGTACTACTGATGTCCAAGCAAAAACATTAAGGCAAAAGAAAAAAAGACCAAAAAAATTTTAGAGAAAGAATTTCATTATTTGTAAGCAATATTCTGGTTCACTTAGAAATGCACTGTCCAGGCTGGGCGCGGTGGGTAATCCCAAAACTTTGGGAGGCCTGACCAACATGGAGAAACCCCGTCTCTAGTAAAAGTACAAAAAAATTAGCCGGGCGTGATGACATGTGCCTGTAATCCCAGCTACTCGGGAGGCTGAGACAGGAGAATTGCTTGAATCCGGGAGGCGGAGTTTGCGGTGAGCCGAGATCGCGCCATTGCACTCCAGCCTGGGCAGCAAGAGCAAAACTTCGTCTCAAAAAAAAAAAAAAAAAAAAAAAAAAGCACTGTCTAGTACAGTGGCCACTAGCCACTTGTGGTTACTGAGCATTTAAAGTGAGACTACTGCAGCTCAAATCACATTGTGCTATAAGTATAAAATATACATGAAATTTTAAAGACTTAATACCAAAAAAAAGAATGTAAATTATCTCATTAATATTTTATGCTAAGTACATGTTGAAATATTTTAGATACACTGAGTTAAAGTATTAAAATAACTTTCACCTGTTTCTTTTTACTTTTTGAACACGACCACTAGAAAATTTAAAATTACATATGTGGCTTCTATTATATTTCTATTGGACGGAGTTACTTGTTCTAGAATATAAAAGACAGTCACCTGATACTCCATTACTGACACATTATTAGAACTAATAGAAGATTCTGGTGCAGTACTATGGCTATATGGTCAATACCAACAACAATAAAAATCAAAAGCTTGATACACAATCAATAAATAATTAGAAAATATATTTACTTCCAACCAAAATAGCAACAAATCCAATGAAATATTCAGGAATAAACCTAAAATAGAGAAGACCTTCAGGCTGATAACCATAGAATTTGAAGACCATATGAGATCTGAATTAATGTAAAGGCATAACATGTTTCTGGACAAAAAGAGTCAATACTATAAAATGTCAAATCTAGGTCAGGTGTAGTGGCTTATGCCTGTAATCTCAGCACTTTGGGAGGCTAAGGCAGATGGATCAACTGAAGTCAGGAGTTTGAGACCAGCATGGACAACATAGTGAAACCCCATCTCTACTAAAAATACAAAAATTAGCCAGGTGTGGTGGTACATGCCTGTACTCCCAGCTACTTGGGAGGCTGAGGCGGGAGAATCTCTTGAACCTGGGAGGCGGAGGTTGCAGTGAGCTGAGATCATGCCACTGCACTCCAGCCTGGGCGACAGAGTGAGACTCTGTCTCAAAAAAAAAAAGTCAAATGTCTCTCAGTAAATCTAAAATTCAGTATAATAACCATCAAAACACCAACAAGACTTTATCTGATATTTTGCAATAGAGTATAAATAAAACATTTCTACATGAAAAAAATACATAAGAAAACAATTCTGAGACTGACCTGGGGAAGTATACATCCATTCACATAGTAAAATTTGTATAAAGCTATAGTCATGTAAAAGTGTGATTTAGCAGCAGAGGAGAAAAATAGGTCAACAGAAGAGAAATTAGGTCAGAACAGAGCTACATGTATTTGATCATTAAGATTATGATAAAGGTAGTGTGCCAGATCAGTAAGAAAAGGATAAAATTCTGTTAAGTGTTCCTGGGACAATAAAATTTTCTTAGTATTCAATTATAGAAATATGTGTATAAACCTTGAATCAGGGAAGCCCTTTTCTTATGCAAGAAACAACATTCAAGAATACATGAAGAATACTCATTTGACCATTTAAAAATTAAATACTTTTACATGATAAAATACATCACAAAGACAAGTGACATATGTATAACAAAAGGATTTTTAAAAAAATCTACAAATCAGTAAAAAAAAAAAAAAAAAAAAAGGTAATCCAAAATTAAAATGGGCAACAAAGGAAGCTGAGGCAGGAGGACTTGAGCCCAGGAGTTGAAGACCAGCCTGGGCAACACAGTGAGACCTTGTCTCTACAAATAATAATAATTTAAAAAGAAATAGCTGGGCATGGTGGTGCATGCCTGTAGTCTCAGCTATTCAAAAGGCTGAGGCAGGAGGATCAGTTGAGCCCAGGAGGTTGAGGCTACAGTAAGCTGTGACTGTGCCACTGAACTCCAATCTGGGCAACGGAATAAGCCCCTATCTCAAATACATGTATATTTTTTAAATGGGCAACGAAAGTACAAACAATAAAAATAATTTTTAAAAATGTGATGAGATGACCCATAAGACTAGAAAATTTTTGAAAGACTGGTAATACTCAGTTGTATCAGTAAAGGTATAGGAAATTACCAACACTAAGAGATCCAAGTGGTAGAGGACTTTTTAAAGCATATTTGGCAGTTTTCATTGAAAATAAAATGCACATACTCATGAACCTAGCAATTCTTTTTTTTTTTTTTTTTTCCTATACCAGGGAATACTTGAATAGGCACACAAAAGAGCATGGCACCGTATAGGAATGTTTACTTTAATATTGTTTATAATGGTCCAATAATGTAAACAACATACAAATGCTCCCCAGTAACAATGGTAAAATGAGCTATGGTTAAACTATGCCATGGAATACAATATAAATATGTAGATGTCTATGTACCAACAAGGAAATACCGTTAAGGGGAAAAAACAAGTTGCAGAAAAACCAATGTAACAATTTTAAAAATCACTTACCAAACCATATATGTATCCATATGTACATGCATATATATAAACATATTTTTAAAAAACAAGAAGGACAAAGTATACATCACACTGGAAACAGAGATTATCTCTAGAGGATGAAGTGGGATTGCATGGAATTCAAGGAAGACTTTTGTTTTACTTGTATAGTTTAATTTTCCCCCAGTAATAATATATTTATTTCTTTAAAAATAAATGTAAAAGAATAAAATTAAAATAACAGAACAATATAGATCCCATTAGTATGAGGAATATAGGAAAACCTTATCAGAAATCACTAAGTGAAAAACGCCATTCACAAACTACACATATATAAATATATATGTATATATATGCATGCTCCATTTGTTTTAAGAACTTGCAAATATACATATCTATGCATGTAAGTCCATCTACAGGTCACTGGTAAGGTCCACTGTAGACAGTGGTCATTTGTCATGGAGCAGAGTGGGAGTGAAGGTGGCTTGAGAAGAGTCTCAGACTCTGTTCAGTGTAGTATTACTCTATTGCTTGACTCTTCTATAACACAGACGTATTCAAGCATAACAAGCAATTAAAAATAATAAGGAAGGGAAGGAAGAAAATCCCTGGTCACCAACTCCCCCAAAAATATGATGCAAATACTTCGGAACTAGGGATACAGCCCGGTAATTTTTACTTTAACAACCAAACAGAAAAACTCCTGATAATTTTGGAGGGAAAAATCATCAACATGTTAGCTCTGATTTTTTTTTTTTTTAATTTATTTATTATTATTAAACTTCAAGTTGTAGGGTACATGTGCACAACGTGCAGGTTTGCTACATATGTATACTTGTGCCATGTTGGTGTGCTGCACCCATCAACTCGTCATTTACATCAGGTATAACTCCCAATGCAATCCCTCCCCCCTCCCCCCTCCCCATGATAGGCCCCGGTGTGTGATGTTCCCCTTCCCGAGTCCAAGTGATCTCATTGTTCAGTTCCCACCTACGAGTGAGAACATGCGGTGTTTGGTTTTCTGTTCTTGTGATAGTTTGCTAAGAATGATGGTTTCCAGCTGCATCCATGTCCCTACAAAGGACACAAACTCATCCTTTTTTATGGCTGCATAGTATTCCATGGTGTATATGTGCCACATTTTCTTAATCCAATCTGTCACTGATGGACATTTGGGTTGATTCCAAGTCTTTGCTATTGTGAATAGTGCTGCAATAAACATACGTGTGCATGTGTCCTTATAGCAGCATAATTTACAATCCCACCAACAGTGTAAAAGTGTTCCTATTTCTCCACATCCTCTCCAGCACCTGTTGTTTCCTGACTTTTGAATGATCGCCATTCTAACTGGTGTGAGATGGTATCTCATTGTGGTTTTGATTTGCATT